TGTATTGAAATTTTTTCCGTATTTATATCATTTAATAGCCTGTCCTATAATAAATTTTCTAGTTTTKCGTATGACTTAAAAATTATTTAATTCGTATTTGTTCTGACGTTTTATGTAATTAATTATATTACCTCCAGTATACTTATTGGTAGRTACATAATTACATTTTAATCGGTGTGTGAGGACACTTACCGKCAAACTGCCTGATCCCCAAACAGTTAGTCGGGTGTAATTGTTTCATCAGGAACGTGCAGCAYGCGTCTCGAACAGAGTTTATCTGGAGCAATGACGACGCGGGCAACAGTACCTGTGGAAATAAAAACAATAAAATGTAATATTACTGCATACTGATATACCAATATGAATTCCGTGTAGTGAAAAATTTGTCGATAGTAAAACACACGGCGTCTGTGGTGGTGTCCTTGGACGTGCAGTCACACCACCATTTTACTGTGACATCACTACTAGCAATATATACTATATTTATAATATATATGTACCTTTACTTAATAATATGACGTTTAACGTCAGTTTTTAAGCATGTAACGTCTGACCTAGTTATGACCGTGGGTGAGGGAGACGGATTGTGTGTTAAGGGCAAACAAAAGTTCATAATCAAATGCCACGGCGAATAGACGCACGTAATAGACCGAATAAGGTCAACGGCTAATTTGGTATCCCAACGGGATTTTTACGATCCATTCCATGAAATTATAAGACTCTAAGTGGACAACCATTTACATCGATTATATTGATTTGAAAATAATATACGATTAAAATCGAAAACTTTTAAGACGTAAACTACAAAACACGATAAGTCAGATTAATGAGTTTTGATTTTTGTTGGATACCTATATATCTATGTATAAATGTAATTTATTAATAGGCTAACGTGAACCATTAAAGAAAACAAGGTATGAGAAAAGAGATATAAATGTAGAATTGCTTTGGGAGAAAGAGAAAACTTGCGTCGTCCTTTCTCGAGATCGATGATAGGATTATAGTTGGCATGTGCGTGTTTTTATTTATTAACTTTCGGTTTTATTTCTATATTCTCGTTCCCTTTGTGTTCCCGAGGGGTTGTTTCAAATATATACTGAATACTGATACTGTATTGTATATGTCTTCTTGAATACTATTTTATCTTATTTTTGAGATTAGAATCTGTATTCTTATGTAAGTACGTACACATAGATTATGTGTGTCGTTTCTAGTTAAAGGTTTTTTTAGTGATAATGCTGAGTAACTAGAGAAATGTTGCCCGAAATCTAGAAGACTACACAGCAATCTTTATTTAAGATAGGTTTTATATATTATGTTGTGCTGATGAGCCCTCAGGTAGTGCCGGGTTATTATTATTGTGATTAATTTATAAGTGTCCGTTATAACGAAAAGTTCGAACTATCTAAAATGGAAATATTATAACCTAGTTTATAACTAATTAACTACTCTTTTGAAATTTGATTTTTTATGTATCGAAGTAGGTAAGTACTCCTAAATATATTCTGAATTTTTTCCATGAAATTAATAATGTATATTTTCTATAAAAGAGTAAAACTTGAAAAATGATAACGATGATTAAATGTAAAAATATAATTTTGTTTCTAAATATGTTTTTTTGTAATAACGTCAATTTACATAAAAGAAATCAAAATTTTTCGAAATAATAAATAGTGCAGGGTGTAACTGTTACCTAACTGTGGAGCATCTTATATACTATACCTATATATTCCTCAAATTTCAGCAAAACTTACCCAACATACCAATTATTTTTTTCCATTTTGAATAGATCCATTAAGTATATCTACATAAGAATAGGTACATACTAAGAGTAACTCGCAGGAGCAAGGAGGAACTCACTGTCCCCTCAAATATTTAACTTAGGGATCAATTGTGTTTTTTAAATTTCTAGATTTTTAGTTTTATTACAAACTGCTCCCGCTCCYCAAAAATTTAGTCCTGATTATTCTTTAATAAACAACACAACTCAGCCATGTATACGCGCATGTGGCTCGAGTTTATGACGTGTATGTATTTGGGCATAATAATTGTAAACATGATGCATATTATGATACATAATATGGGTTTCACGTAAWAAAATTGATTAAAATTCAGCAGTTTTTATCTAGATACTGCTTAACACTGTAATAATTTTGTAACGCGTACTGTTTTTCAAACGTCATCTAGACATACATCTACCTATAATAATAATATAGTACCTATAGTGACTCGCTACTAGTGAGTTGTGACTTTGTGAGTAAATAGTAAAAACAGTTTATGAAACAACACACGGAATATTTAAAACATACACATTTATTTCCACAATCAAAACCTACGTATATACGTATGAACTCGTGCGTTGGACAGCCATGATGGTTTATATAGTTTTTTTTAATTATTGAYTTAGATATTGGCGTATTGCTATTTAAGGATTTAGCACCAAGAACAAAYTACAAAGTTAATAATTCCAAACACATAATACTAAAATAGCTACATCTACAAAACATAATTTCTAAAACTGTTCCATATAATTAAGTTTCGCTTTTTTTTCACTTTCAATAATTAGAAGTGGTTAAACAGTAAAATTAATTTTCCAAATAATTATATAGATATTACGTTTCATAAMATATTTCTCATAATTTTGTTTTATTAAGAATTATAGCTATAGTTTCTTACTATCTAATAGTTAATCTCAAATAAGAATAATAAATAATAAATAAATTTGTGTTAACATTAAAAACAATTAAAAATCCATACGTATTTTAAATAGGTAACCTGCAATTTATCAAATATACATAATCAATATAGGTAGGTCGTATGCGTATATTTTACTCTTAGATATAAGTTTATAAGTTAAATAATTAAACGTATGAAATGCATTRATTGAATAACAGACATACTAGTTTATTTATTTGTTACAATATATTACAATKACATAATATTATGTGTTGATAAACACAAATTGTCCCGTAACATATAAATATATTTTATAACTTTCAAAATTTACTTGAATTTGAATTTGAATTTGGACGGTTGTTGATAGGTATTACGGTAAGAAAATCRTATCACAAATTTATGAAAAAATTGGTTATAGTAAAAACCGTCATTACTTCATTAACTAGGTACTAGATTATACCAACCTGRACATTTTCGTCTGTTATGTGTACTTGGCCAGTGTATGTATATTCGATAAGAAGTTGTAGGGCACCCAAGTCCACGTCATGTAACTCGACTTCAGATTGCAACTTTTCAGCCATGTCGTCTATTAATAAAAGAAAATGTTTAAGTGAAAAAAGACAACTTTATCACACTTATTAGTTATTACCATTGAACATTGCGTAAAAATAAGGACTGCAGGAGGCTAACACCAATCGGTGAGCTTTTGTTACGCTGTTGCCGACTCGAAGTGAAACATCACAGAGCTGCGAATTAAATTTTAATAAATTACTATATATAATAACATAATATAATTTGACACCAATATCGTATATTTGTGTATAGGTTTTTTTTGTAACTTGTCGTACTTGGATGTTGACGCGCATCTTGTTGATAACGGAAAACGACGAAATAGAATGGTCAGGATCGTGGTGCAAGTAACAGGACATCGGTTCCGGTGATTCACAAGTCAGAGGTTCTTCAATGGTGGTTTCTTCGTGTTCTGAAATACGATTATAACGTAGATGTAATAAAATGGGCACTATAACTTATTAATTTATAATATGTTTTTCAATCAACATGATTGTATATATTTAACTTATTTAATTATAACTCAATCACGTGACCATATAATATAATATACATAGGATTTTATAATATTTGACTATACATTAAATGCGTTTCCTAAATAGWAAATAAATAGTATCGTATAATAGAGTTTTCGTATACTTAAAATATCAGACATACGCAGCATCATTGGCGCCACTATACTCCCAYCGCCGAAAGGATTCTGTCGATAATTCAAGTTTTTGGGGTAATGCATATTACGTATAAAATGGAAACTTTTTTACGTAATAATCGGTATGATATTATGATATACTCTTATCCCCAGCACCCCAGCATTTTCGATAAGTGAAACTGTTTTTTTTTTCAATGGATTCTGAGTGAAGCAATTGTATTTTTTTAAATTGTTTTTGTGTATAAACGCTTTTGTGGGCTTACTGAATAATTTAAAAATAATGATCCACTTAATACAAACGAGTATAGATGCAACGATTAAAGAATAACTTAATATGTAACATTCATATGAAGTATGAACTCATTGATGTGTTGTCAAAATTTAAAATATATTCTTAATCAACTAATCAAGAACTTAAATAGATGATGTATATCTGTTTAGTTTTGGAATTATCCAATGTATGATATTAATAATTAAAATTAAGTTTTATGATCAGAATATATTAGAATTTGCAACCTTCTTATCTGTATGGTTATAATACACATTGTGAAATTTTTAATCGTCTCTAAAAGTTCAATTGGAAAATGGATAATAAATTAGTAACAAAAGTCTAAATCTAGAGAACTGACAATTATCAATATTCATGACTTATAGCAGTAGGTACCCATGTACTTAACTCAGTAACAATATTTATATGCCGGATTACTAATTTGTAATTTATTAGAAATTACATCTATATCATAGGTACTATTATATTATGTTCAGCAAAATCTTATCAAACACCTAATTTCAAATTAATGTTACGCCTTAAAACGACGAGAGTAAGTATCATAATACCTAGTGATTACTGATTAGTAAAAACGTCATTAATTATGATACTAAACTTATATTACAGCTGAAAAGCTTTTTATTTTATTATTGCTATAAGTATATAATATATATAGTACATATAGTTMATTTTTCGTATATAACGTGGATATGATCGCATGTTTTAAGTCCATGAAATGTTCAGTAATTCATGGTTTGGCAATTATTATATTTATTTCTTGTAGGACTTAATTAAGACTTAACATATTATCATAATATCATCTACTATTATGTCTGTAAACTCTATTAAGCAGACGTGTAATAGAAAAAAAAAGAAAATTGTAGTTTAACGACTGTATACTATAATATATAGCATATACTTACTGCGATATATTATTATTATATTGTAAATGATGACTTTTCTAACGATTGGCATGTATACGCACAGCAGTCGCGTGTCTTGGGTCAATTGACAACGACCCGACCGACCGGTTTAATCAGACATGACAGCGCCCACAAACGCATGACTATTGGCGAGCCCCTGGCCAGTGGTTGTTAGATAGGTAGATAGTTAGATTAGAGTGGCCAGAGCTACACACGTATACGTCAAACTCTAAATGACAAGCTGATGGATTATGTGGATAAGTTTGACGGAGTTTACCGTCAAACTCGTGATGGTATAATAACTGAACGCAATACGTAACGAAAAAGTTTTATTTCTATCGTTACCTATACAATATTCTCAAGGATCTGTCTTGTAGCTAATCTATTAATCTATATATATGTTATAATAAAAAAAATATATTATATACTATACATAATGTATACTGTGACTTAAGTATGTTATATTATAAAAAAGTTCGTCACGTGTAGGTCCTTTATATAGAGTGTTTTTACTTGTAAATTAGTACTTCTGTAGGGGAGTGCAAGATAATTTTTCTTTTAAAAACGGCGTCACATATATTTTATGCAAAAACCTATACTTTAGAGTTATTTTACACATAAAAAAGTCTATTGAATTTGTGAATGTTCAGTGTTAAATTTTCCTCGAAATACCAAATTTCACTTTTCCTAGTAGAATTTTCATCCATAAATTAAATACCTATTTATATCATTTTTTTGTATGCATTAAATTATATTTGATGGTATAGATTTTTTTTTAAATGTATTATTTATACATTTCTTGAATCAGTAAAATAACGGATTGACACAGAACTACATCAGAATTCTTTTACGGTAGTGCACTAGTGTCATGAAATGTTTGTTGGACATTATCCCCATTCTTTAATGTTAGAAAAATAACCTTATTGGCTTAATTTTTTCATTAGCGTATATATATTATATTATATAATGATCTGATTGATTTTGTTTTTTCAATTAATCAACACCACCCATATTTTCTCTACTTATTATAATATGATATAGTATATTCTAAATCTGGTAATGATTAATACTTTTGTATATTGATTTCATTATTGGGTCTTAGTTAATCGCGCCGAAATTACATTTTTACCTATAAGAGCGCTGTGTATCAAATAGGCCCGTAAGCAAGCATTTCTGAATAGGGAGTGTTTCGAAAAAAAAAAAATTATGAAATGGATACATCAATGAATAAGGACTAAATATAGTATTAAAAATAGTTTTATTTAGGTATTCATATTAAATTTGTAAGTATATGGAAACTTTTTATTTCAATACTATAAAATACAAATCAATGTTGTAATAAATTTACTAAAACCAATGTACCTACTATTTTATTACAATTGTAATATATTTACAAAAATACAACTTATATTTTTTCGGAAATAATGTAGGGGGCTTGAAATATGTAAAAATACAAATAAAAAATAAATAAATACAAATCTGGCATCAATACATATCATGAATCATCGAATTATTACCATTTGAAAAATGATAATTTTATTTAGTTTCGTAAAAATAACAATCACTTAATAGTATTATAATTATATTATTTTATTATTTTAACGAACTTTAAATTGTATTTTTTTTGTTTATTTTTCTGTCATAATAATATATGTATAATTGCCAATTGGGTTATACTTATAAATTTTGTAAAATAATTTGTAAGCTTATATTATAAGTTTTTCTGTTGCGGATGTCAATATTTAACAATTTAACGATAAATTAAATAAAAAGATACATTTACTATTATGGTAAAATACATGTATTCGTAATTTGAGACTATTGTAACTTTTGAATTTTAATTATTGATGTAACTCACACAAGTTAATATGTATACACAAGTCTAATAAGTAATAACCTTAGTTGTTGAAGCCTCTTTTCTCTTTCAATAGCAAAAAAAAAAAGTAAATATCAGGCGAAATTGAAATTAACACTGCAAAATCCCATTTCACTCAACGTTTAAAAATAAAATAAAATAATATTATATAGAAGGAATAAAATACCTAATAATATTAATGTAAAACATATTTCTTCAACATAATAACATATAAGATACTATTTTTTATTTTTTTTATCACAAATTTTTAACTTTTAGGTAATAATAAGATTATTTATTGAATTATATAAAACACATATTTTGTTGAGAAAGCATGAATAACAGTACCTATTTAAATTATTATTTATTATTTTTTATGATTACTCATCTTTTAAAAATGAAAAAAAATATGGTTATTTTTATAGCTTCTTTTAATTATAGTTTGATTAATTTTTAATAAAACCGAACAACTTTTTTTCTATCTATATCTTTTACTTACTGCAGAATCATATACATATACGACGATAATGAATAATTATTGATAATAAACTAATAAATAATAATAATASGTATAGGTAAGGCCTATTCAAATTAGCCATACAACCTTTAATTATTGTATCGAGCTATACGATATACTATATATATATATACCTATTATACCTATTACAAATTATAATTTATCATATTATAATAAAATGTGCGTTTAATAACTGCGCTAAATATTATATATGAAAAAAAATTGATTAATTTGAGAAATTATGACTACAGTAGGTACTTCATAGATCATAGATACCGCAGCAATAATCGCGTGCATCAGGATGGATACCCATCATAATAATATTTATACCTAGTATAGATACAAGGCTTTTTCCAATAAAACTATCACAAGAAAGTTAAGTGTTTTTTTTYAAATTTTTAGGTTGAATTTCCATATATTATCATCTATTGATTTTTATATTTTTAAATAATTATTATAAATTTATATGTTATATCTCTAATGAAATACCTAGTGTTAATTTTCAATTTTAAACTTCTTAATATTGGATTTTATTTAATGTTTAGTAATTGTATTTTTTTTTTTTTGAGCATTTTAATATGCATTAATGATTCATCTAAAAAATAAATCAGCAAGTGTGTGACAATATATTATATTATTCTATGTGTAGCGAACTATAAATATCTTACATGTATTTATAAATTATATTCTAATTGTTCAAGTTCAAGCTTAAAGATTAATCAAAATATAATGGACCATGAATATTAGTATATTACAAATTACAGTATAATATATACATCGACATAACACTATTAATATTCATACTATAATTATGTAAAATTAAAACAAATACAGAACATTAGAACTAAGTTTTTAATATTGAAAAAAAAATACAAATATATTCCGAGAGGGTCAATTTATTGACCAATATTTAAAAAAAAAAACACTCTGTATATACGACAGTCGTATATTGTACACATTATAATTAATAATAATTAATATTACTATTGCCACGTTATTAATTTGTTTAATACGAAATGAAACTAAGACATTTTCTAGTCCACCTATTTGGCTACAATAAATGAAGATAGAATAATAATACAATTAATACTGAACAATAGCCAATAATGATATTGCAATAAGTATGGAAATTATAACTTTATTAAAAATTATACGTACTAATAACTAATTTTTATCTACTGATATTTTAATGATAAATGT